GGCGGGTGGGTGCAGCCCCCGGTGGAAGCAGCCTGGGTAAGGGAAAGGACAGGGCCAGCGGGCGGAGGGAGAGCACAGACCGTGGGGAAACGGCACAGCCACTTGTGAATGGAAATATAACATGGCATGCTGCGAAAGGCTGCTACTGCGGGGCAACCCTTGCGAACAGTGAGGAGCAGAGGTGTGGGGAGGGAGAGGGAAGGCGCCCATCCACCCTGCACGTGCGCTGCACATCAAAGCACTGCACTGACATACATCAGGCACTGGAAAGTGACAGAGCCGCCCATACAAACAGACTCCAGGTGTGTTATAAATAGGGAGGGAGCCAGGGAGGGAAGGGAGGGGAGGCCTGTGCCAGTATGGTGAGGGTACCCTTGATTTCAAGTGTGGCTTTGGGTTTGCATGCGACCTCCTTACTTTTTTTTTTTTGTTTTTTTTGTATGATCTCCCATCTGCTTTGTTTTGTCATAAATGGCAAAGAAGCTCCCCACTGCCTCCCAGTCCAGTCCCATGGGGTGCTACTGCAAGGGTGAGCACAGGGCTGCCCCGGTGGAGGAACTGCCACTACTACGGCTGGGCAGGGGCTGTGCTGGCACCCTGCTGCCGTCCTGCTGTGAGGAGCAGAAGTACATTTTGCAGCATGGAATTTTGGTTTAATAACTGCATGTTGACAAGACAGGGAAACCATCATCTTGCAGGAAAGAGGTCTGGAGGTTACCCTGCTTCCCCTGTGCCTGCCCTATGCCAGCCTGGCATTTTACTTCTCTGCTGGCACACCTGTCTCCTCTCCCAGACACCTTCCACCTCCATCCCATTTCCAGCTCTGGGATGTGTTACCTGCTGCAGGCTGCTTTTCAAAGCAGCTTTCTAAAGTGTTTCCACCTCTTGGTCCCATTTGTCTTACTGGTGCCCAGCCTCCTTGTCTTGTGATAGCATGTCAAAATCACTTCTTGCACAGCTTTGCCTCTGTGAGACAGGTTCTTCATTGTATAGAAAATTCACAGAACATTATATAATTCCGGTAGTCTCTGTGGCCAAAGGCAAAGTTTTACTGCTGTATCCCAAGTGAGACAGTATCTTCAAGTGGGTGTTGGGGTTGGCTCACAGCTGGAGAAATGCAACAGTTCCAGCTTAACCTGGGATACTCTTTCAGTCTTCCAACTTCAAGTAATTTATTGTATGGCATCTGTCCTGTAGTTTATTTGGTCCTCTTCAGCTTGTTGTTTTTCTTCAAAACCTCTCTTTTTTTTTGTTTTCAGTCACCACATAAAGGCCCATGTATTACTGCTTATATTACTACAGCTGGTTTTGAAATATCCCATCACACAGAATCCAGACATCTATACTCCCACATGTCCACTGAGAACATACATGGGCAACTCCTACGAAGACTTGCAAGCTATGCAATTAAATCCCTTCAATACCCATCTCATGTTTTGCTGTTAAGCATTGCCCAGGGGAGGAAGTCTGCTACAGGCTATATCCAGCACAGGCAAGGATAAGCCCCAGTGGTAACAAGCTAGGATGGGACAGCCCATTCACTCCACGACCTGTAGTCATGTTGGATGCTGCCAAAGGGGTGTGTTAAATTCACCACATTAGGCTATCCCATCTCTCCTTCCACAAAGCATTGAAACATATATTTAAGTGCATTCAAGGTAGTCGTATATAACAGTGTATGTGCACATCTCTCACTTCTGATAGAAAACATCATGACAGTTCATGAAGCACAGTAACTGTAGCTGAGCTGGACACTGTATTTATCCTGTGTTTATCTGCTCTCTCATTTAACTACAGTGCTTGTTGCAGGGGAGGGCTAAGCAGGATGCATCCTAGTGAGTAGTGGGGTGTTCCTGGCCCCAGTGAAACATGCTTCAGGGCTGTGCACCCCTCTTCAGTTTAGTTTGGCAAGGAAATGTATCAGACCACCATGTTGGCTCTTTACGATTGTACAGGAATGGCAAGGGGATATATCAGAAGCAAAACAGTTTCTTGCTGGTGACTTGCAATGCAAAGGAAAGGCTGGAAATCTTGCAATAATAATAGCCACTAGTTTCCCTACACTTCCTTTTGTATAGCTTGAAGCCTGTGATGCAGTGAGGAGGGAATCCTTCAGGCAGGGTGCTCATGGAGCACACCTCACACACCATTATGAGGTGACTTACTAGGTCATGCAGAATCTGCAAGGGACAGCCCCTATAGAGATTTAGTTAGTGAAGGCAGCTTTAAACAAAACAAAACACAACAAAAGAACCACCGTCTATTCCACATATCTTTTTGTCCATGTTGGTTGGAATTTTTGTTTTCAGAATGTTTTGCTATGTTGGTAAGGATCTTTAATAAAAAATAAGAAACTGTGTTAAGCCTCACAGTTTTTTATTTGTTTTGTTTTACTTTTAGGGCAGAAGGGCAGGGTACTATTTCCAAATTTTGAAGATACTAAGAAAACAAGAGTGGATGGAGGGTGTGGGGAGGAGAAGAAAGATTCTAGAAGAGAAAACAACTAAAAGAAAAGAAGTATTTTCATATACTTCTTTTTGGTAGTTAAAAATGAAGAAGAAAGTAAAAACGTCCCTATTATTTTTCAAATGTCAGTTAAAAGACTGTTCTTTTCACCGCAATTTTTAAAAGAGCAAAAACTGCTACATCTTAATAATGTGTGAACTGCATCCCATTTCCATGCAAAACAGATTTTTATTTTCATTTCTCTGGAAATGAGTGTAGGAAACAATCTGTAGTCCCTGCTTAATGCTGGAGAGGATCCTGAAAGCACTCTGAGTTATGTGTAGCCTGAACTTTTAATGAGACAACTTAGTTATATGGTGGAAGTCACGTTCTTGTCCTTGCTATGGAGTATGAAGCTGGATTAGTAGTTTAAATCACCTGTGTTTGTTTTTTGAAAAGCCATTTTATTTTTTTGACAAACCCTTTTTTTCTTTTTTCTTTTTTTTTTTTTTTTGCTATTGCCTTGCATATTAAAGAACCCTGCCAGCCATCTTGTCCTCAGGGAAAAACCTTTGGCTTCCCATTCTCCTGGCTGTTGGTAGGACTGAATCAGTCTAAGAAACCAGACTTTGGCCTGAAGACTGCGTAAGGAAGGCACACACATACACATGTGGGTCAGGATTAACGCCTCAGCCATTGCAAATGCATTGACATATTTTTGTGGTGACAAGTTAATGGTTGGATCCTGGCAGTGGTTGTCAAGAAAACACAGAGCAAGGAGGGAAAACAGGCTTCACATTTGCATTTCAGATTCTTTAAGAGGAGATACTTCTGGCTCTTAAAATTACCACATGCCAGCATGTTGCATTGTACTGTACTAACACTGTTCTGGCATCCTCAATATTGTCGAGCATTCCTCCCTAGGGCATATTTAAACCACATTATTTTCATCTGAGTTGAAATTCTGAGGTTTCATTAATCCGTTTTTTACCTTCCTTACCAGACTTTGGCCTCAGATGCTGTATTAAAATAGGCCAGGAATTAAAAGTTTGTCTAAACTTTTAGATTTCTGAGTCCATCGACCATGCTCACTTTTTGGACTCCCTCAAACATGGTGTCTCACACAACACAACCTTCAAAATTTTTGGCAGTGGCACCATCTGACATTTCCAGAAGAGGCTATTCCATCTGCAGTTTTAATTGGGGCTTTTAGCTGTGTGAGACAAAAGCCTCTTGCTGTCATTCTCTCTCCTGTACCCAGGCTGCTTGCTGGGGTGCACAGTGGCTGCAGCACCAGAGGTCGTGCTTGGGCCACTCGGGAGCTCAGTGCTTGTACCTCAGGGACCCCCACCCCAACAAGCCATCACCTCAGGACAGTTGTCCTCATCCCATCTGGACAAGTTAACCTGGTAAGCAGTGGCTGCATGGTGGGGACTGTGTGTCCAAGCCTTGCACACCCACTCCAGGTGGCTGGTGGTGGGTGTGCCTGGTCTGTTGCCACTCATGATTTGCAGTGGTGAAAATGAGAACTGGCTGAACACCAGAGTATGTGCTCTCACCCTTCTGCTGCATGGTGGCAGATGCTAGCACCAGTACACCTTCTTCATCCCCCACTGCTCCTGCATAGGTTTTCATGGGCCCAGCCCCCAGGCAGTGTGGGCTGGTGGGAAAACCACCTGAGCAATGGGACGAGCAGTCTGCAAAGCCTCCCCTCCATCCCTCACAGCATTTCACACCAGGAAAATGCAGATGGGGAAGCCATAAAGGATATGCCTGAAGTTGAACAGGAGGGCAGTGGCAGAGCTCAACCTATACATCTGAGTCCAGTTCTGAAAGTGCACAAGATCATTCTTTCTTCATTGAAAAAAATCTTTATATCAGAGTTGGTTTAATTGAAGTTGTTTCCTCCTCCTTTTTCTGTTGTTTCAGTTATACCACTTGCTATCAAGACTTGGAGTTGAAGCATCCACAGCAGATGGCATTGTTTAAGAAATAAAAAGCTAGAGCACAAGGCTTTGTTTTAAACCTTACCAAGACAGCAGGCTTATGAATAGGTAAGCCATAATTTATTAATAAGTGCAGTCTATTAGGTTTTTCCATGTTTGCTTGTTTTCATTCTGCAGCCATGGAGAGTTTTGCACTGAGAATTCTTCTGACTAGAGGGATCTCTACATGGTCATTCTAGTGTCAGGACACATCCTCTCAGTGAACCACCAGATACTCTGAGTTGAAGTGGCCCTTAAGAGCCTCCACAGAGCAGAGGTCTTCTGGCCAAATGATGTC